GAAATTTCCTTTTCCCCGTTTCTAACACGCAAATGTTTGGATTTGTCATTTTGATGCTGATCAGAAAGGGATTTAAAAGCATGTCTATCTGCTCCAAGATTTCCATTGAAGGCTCTGTGGTAGCTGACAGTTAACTTTTCTGACTTGGAAATGTGTGAGGGGGAGGTTATGGAAATCTGTTATATTAGTTTCAAAAATGTTTTTAAAAGGTTAGTCCAAGTAGTTTCAAGCTGTGCAGTGACTTATTTATACCTCACTATGTACATCTCAAATAGTCATTGGTCAAATGGAGAACCAATATAAAGGACTAAGATCCACAATAAGAGATGAGATTAACAACTGTGGAAAAGTTAGTGATACTTCATTAATTACAATGACATGACATTTCCCAACACTCATTTTCCTGGATTTTACATTTAGGCTGCAAATAATTTACAGTAATAAAAGCAGTAAAACTCATGAGTTAAATTAAATACATTGCCTGCACATAAAAATAGGATAGACCAGCGTTTCCCAAACTATAGGCTGCGGCCCGGTACTGGTCCACAGGAAAAAAGAACCGGGCATCAGCATGGCTGCCGGGGTGTTCCAGGCCCCCGGAGTGCCTGTGCAGCGCTGGTTCCCCCAAGCCCTGGGCCGGGCTGAACGGAGGATGCAGCTGGGTGTTCCGGGCTCCCAGCAGAGGCTTAGCGAGGGGGGAGCAGGGGGAGGGCAGGGGTGCTGGGCTGGACTGCGGGGGATGGGGGGAAGAGGTGTGGGGTGCAGGTCTCACCTGGGCTGCAGGAGGAGGGGGGTGCCGGGAATCTGGCGCTGGACTCAAGGGGAGGGAGGGAGGGGCAGGGAATCAGCACTGGGCTCAGCATGTCTGCACAGTTTGGGGGAGAGGGGCAGGGAAACAGAGCTCAGCTGGGCTGGGAGAGTGAAGAGGTGTGGGGTGCTGGGCTGAGCTGGGCTGCGGGAGTGCGGAGATACGGGGTGCTGGGCTGAGGGGAGGAGGTGTGGAGCCCAGAGCTCATTTTGGTTGCAGGAGGAGGGAGGTGCCGGGGAACCAGGGTTACACTCAAGGGGAGGGAGGGGCAGGAAATCAGAGCTGGGCTCAGCAGTTCTGCCGGGCTTGGAGGGAGGTGCAGGGAAATGGTGCTTAGCTGTGCTGTGGGGGAGGAATGCAGGGAACCAGTGCAGGGCTCAGCTGGGGTGAGGTGGTTGAGGGAAGGCATAGGGAACAGAAGGGCAGCTCAGCTAGGCTGTGAGGGGCTGCAGGGAACTGATGCTGCACTCCCTTGGATTGTGGGGGATGGTTTTGGGGGAGGTGCAGGGAACCAGCAGGGGTGGGCAGCTCAGTTGGGTTGCAGGGGAGGGAAGTGCAAAGACGCCTAGGGAGGGGGGGAAACAGGAGCCCTAAAATGACCTCCCCTGGTCTAAAAAAATCCCTCTTCTGGGACCAGTCAGGTCCAGAGGGTGCCAGACCAGGGAGGTCCAACACCTACCCAAGTCCCCTCCTTGGAACCTCCCTCCTAGCCAGATACCCTACCCCCAATCTGTTCCTACTCCTGCCTCTTGGAGTGCCAGTGTGGCGCTGGGTCCCCCAACTCCGGCCCGGGCTCGGTGGAGGATGCAGCTGTGTGAAATAGTGAAAATTTATTCATTTTTCATTTTTTTTAATATGCGTTTATATTTTTGGGCTGCAAAAAACTGTACTGAAAAAAAACCAGGTTCCAACCCAAATAAAAAGTTTGGGAAACCCTGGTGTAGCCAGCTTTCTATCAATCTTACAGTTCATTTATCCAATTCACATTCCCTTAATATCCTGCAGATAAATCCCTTATCTCATCCTGCAGATAACTTGCCAGTGGGTCATCTATGTACAGTACAACATCCAAACTGTAGGCTAATTGTACCAAAGTGCACTTCATAGTTGAGGATGCACTGAGATGATCACAAAGCAGGAATTTAACAGCTTTACATATGAACAACACTGTGTATCCTTGCTAAAATTAAGCAAATAATGTTTTTTTGGGTTCACTGGCAGTTAAAAAAGGTGTGTGGTTCTGGTTGAATGGGTTGCGAAAGTTCTGAAAAAAATTGTTCAAGCCAAAACATTATTTTTAAACGGGTAGATTCACAAAATAGCCAACATGAGGAGGATGTCCCACTATAAGCTTTCACCCAGTGGTTAGAAAATTCACCTGTAATGTGGGAGGACACAGGGCTCAATTCCCCCCTCTACCTGATGTGGGGAGGGATTTGAAGCCGGGTCTCCTGCATCCTAAGCAAGTGCCCTGATCACCAAGTGATGGGATATTCTTATGGACTCTCTCAGAGTCCCCCACTAAAGCTGTTCTACAGTGTTGCCAGCTCTCATAATTTTGTCAGAAGTCTCATGATACTGGTTTTCCTTAAAGCCCCAGATCTTAGAGTCAAGTGGATATGCAGTGTTTTCAGCCTTCATTCTTAAGGAAAAAGTAAGTTTCTAGTCCTCATGACTGTAGACAAAGCTTCAAAATGTGACCCTCAATGTATTCTAAAGGCTCAAAAAGAAGGCAAATAAAAACAAACACCAAATCTTATATTTGTATATAGTCTCATGATTTTTGAACATTTGGGAATAGCAAATCACTGGAGCTGGAACAGGAACTTAGAGCTTTCATCTCACAGCTGAACGGTCAATGCACCAGGCTGTAAAATCTCTCTCTGCCTGGCCTTTCAACTTCCAGATTCTCCTACGGCACTGTACTACTTTTTAGAACAGATTGTTTTGCAAGGTATTTTTTAAAAGCCATTGAAATTAGCAGTATAGATTTATGACCCATACAAAAATATGCATGCAAATGATCTGTGTGAGCAGAGCTTTTTGCCAGGATAGTAAAAGTAATGTTTTTTAGAACATGTATTTGCCATTATCTGAAGGTGTATATATGGTTAGAATTAATCTAGCTGTCAAACAACATGCAGAAATACCCTTTCAAGAAAGTAAGTCTACCAATCTCGACAGAATCCCCTTACTATTATTGTATTTTGGCAAACTTTAATATTTTTGGAATATCAATACTAAAAGGGGAATTTTAGGAATAGTTTAAATGACCACTGGATGTCACTGTTTCTTTTAAAATGTGACAGTAAGTTTGAAAATAAAAAATGATAGCTATTTGAAAACAAAACCTGCTCGCATTGATCACTAAAAGGTCAGAAATAAAGCTTACAGCCATTTGTTTTTACTACACAGAAGTTTATTATGAAAGATAAACATACAACACAAAAGGTAGCAAAAGCAATCCTTACCTTAAGGCAACTCTTAAAGGAGACTGGTTCAAGAAAGGATGATGCAACTTGTGTTTAAATAGAAATTATGAAAAATATCAAATTGCATCAATAACTTAAAACGTACTTTAAAAAGTCTGCACTAAGCAGCAGAGGGTAAGGGTTTCTGATCTTAATGCCAGCATTAAGATATAGTAAGCAGCACAATGCTAAATGACAGGGAAAGTTCAGTATTTACACAAAGAGTAATTTATATTCGATAGCATAACTTCTCATGTACATCTGGTTTGGAACCATGATCTGAAACAATTAGGAAAACTATGTAAAATAAATCTTCATACCATTCCATCAAAAATACAGAAGATGCAGAGAGGATCCCAGAATGATGGGTACCTTAAATATCACATTACAGAAGGTGTTTGGTTTTTTTTAGAAAAGAATTTTTTCAAGGAGAGGGAGAAAAAAAACAAAAAACAAAAACCCACACAAGTCACAAAATATGAAACCTTATCTTTCAGATTAGCCAGATTTAAGTGTATCAATATCAAAGTACAGGCAGTCCCTGGGTTACATGGATCCAACTTACATCGGATCCCTACTTACAAACGGGGTGAGGCAACCCCGCACTAGCTGCTTCCCCCCAGCAGACCAGGGAGACGCGGAGTGGCTTTTCTCAGCAGACACCTCAGCTTGAGAATAAAGGACTGAGGGAAGTGAGGTGTGGGGGAATAAAACTGAGCTCTGGAGAAATGTTTGGCTAGAGTTTCCCCTACAATATGTACCAGTTCCGACTTACATACAAATTCAGCGTAAGAACAAACCTACAGTCCCTATCTTGTACGTAACCCGGGGACTGCCTGTATTTCTGTGATGATGATGTTGTCCCAGCAGTTACAGACAACAGTATTAGTGAACTGTTAAATATTCATGGTATTAACATACAAGGAGTTCCATTCCCATTATTTGTTTATAGTTTGCAAAACCTCATATAATTTAAATTCAAATGTTTTGCCATCAGAAAGGGTATCATATAATAAATATTTAATGATCCTAATTATACATAATTTCAGTTAGCCATAACTTTTCCTTAACAGAAATGATCTAGCTTTAGCATTTTAATATTAAATATTTCAAATGACAACATTTAATTGAGCTATACAGAAAGCATCAGCTTCAAAGAATGTCAAATGACACTACTGTTTCCAGTTGTTTAAAGTAGTGAATGTTGATGGAAAATCGAGAATAAGCCTGTTTACAAAAATTGCTCATACAAATTTATCCCTGTTGGAAAATGTCATGTATACTGTAAATTAGCTTTATATGTAGAAGTTTAGTAAAAGAAATTATCATATGGACAGCATGAGAGATTCTACACGCAACTCCAAATCTCTCCTTTCATCATTCAGCATAAATTTACAAAAAGCATAAGATATAAAATACATTTAAAGCAGAGATCTCAAACTGGGGACAAAGGTGATCAGCTGCAATGGTGATAATGTATTAAAAATCATGTTTAACATGCTGTTAAATCCAATTATGAAGTTGCATTATCCTTTTTCAGAACTATTTTTTAAAAAAATCCCTGAATAAAGTAGAAGCCAGCCTGCAACTTCCTAGGAGTCTCAATAGGTACTATATTTACTACACAACAGAACCTAGATTTGATCCTGGGGCAGGATGCACTGACATAAAAAATATTTTTAAAACATTTTTAAAAAAAGGAGCCAATGAATTGCTAGAAGTTAAAAGGATATTGCAACTTTAATAGTGAACATTCATGCTAGAAAATTGATTGACAACTCTGTTACAACTCTGGGGTCAGCTTGTAAATAATGCAAAAAGGTTAATCTAAAAAAGTCTTGCAAATTTAGAAAATAAAGAAAATTGTAAAAGACAAAAATGCATATCTAAAATAGAGCAGGAGCACAATGACAACAACCAAAACTTCCAAAAGCCCACATAAAAAAATTAATCTTGGAAAGCCTTGGCTTCCAGCAATTTACCAAAGACAAAAAAAATTGTAATTTGCAAAGTCTTAACCTATTTTTAAGTGACAGTTTTTTATTACAGTTGAAAAAAATGGTTTATAGCTGCTTAAGTTTCCATTTCACTAAAAATAGCGCCAACAAAAATAAGCTTGCATAGAAAAAACAATCTCAAATTGCCACTGGCTACATGCTTACAATAAGAAATGCAGATATTGTAACATAGTGCAAACCATGGCAGTTCATGCTGGTTGTGACTGCCGCAGGTCAGGAAATAGACCATAGTAACCCAGTTATCACAGTTTCTGGTCTTCTATTTCATCTTTTGCAAAGTATAAGCAATGCATATGTGCAGACTCATGGCATGTCTGCTGCTGCTGCTGATTAGCGCAGTTTGAGGTCATCACCGCTTCCTAGGTTAGATCCAGGACTAGGGTCTTGCTGTCTTCTTGCCTGCATTAATAAATGTGTGTTCAAGTCAAAGGTATGGTTTGCAAATATCAGTTGATTTTTTTAAATAAATGTATTAATTATTAGTTTATGACCACAAATAATTCCATGATACTAAATTTACACTGCAAACTGTTAAATACAAACATATCACCCAAACCTGCTACTTAATGACCCACTATTATGCAAAAACCCGAGTAAGAGCAAGAATTCACACAATTCTTTGAAGATGTGACTCTGGTTTTGATGGCCCAGCAGAGGAAGAGTGTTTGGAATAGATGACCGTACACTGAAAATGCTGTATCACAAATTCCTGCTATTCAAATCTAAAGACTGTTAATAATTTATTACAACAGATAGCAAAGATCAGATGTAGCAGAGAGGCTACTAAATACAGTACAGATTCCAACCATCCAAGGCTTCATAGATCAAATACAACACTGCACCGTTCTTAAAAGGCAACTAGAACACAGGGAAGTCTACAGAGCACAAGCTACAGTAGACTTGCATCAAGTAGACAAATGGCAGCATTCTGTCAAAAAATGAAATATCTAGATATCTTCAAATGCAGCCCTACAGACAGCATGCTGCAAAACACAATGTGGAGGTAACAAAGGCATGACTACGTTTGTGTCCGAGGAGAGAACTTTATGCAGTCTCTCGGTGCCCAAAACATTGGGCACCTCATTTAAAATGATTGAAACATTATTTTAGTTGGCGGTGCAGATATCAATCCTGCTGTTTTCTGTAAATATTCATCCCCTATTCCCCAGCATTACTTCCTTCATGTCTGACTCAAGCTTCTGCTGATCTTTTTCATCCATGCCTCAATGAAACCAACTGTTCAGAAAACCAGTGATAGCATTGTCTTGGTCAGACAATAAAGCAGAACTGAATGTGAGACACACAATGGTGACAATGAAGCCCATCCTACCTCACAATCTCCTCTCCCACTCAAAAATTAGTACAAAAATGGAACTAAAGAGATAATAGAAGTCTGCAAAAATGCTTGCTGGTGGTAATGAGAAATTGCTCTTCAGCAGCCTCTGGAATCTGACAGGAAGGAGTAAGAGTTACTGAAACACATTCCATCCATCCACTCCTGATGAATACTGGGAGAAGGGGGGGAAGGAATCATCATAACTTCAGGGTCAGTACTGATGTCAATAGCTCCAGGAGACTCATCGTACATACAAGACCTCCAGCTGTACTAGGGATGTGACGGTTTAACCAATCAACAGATGGGGCTGGAGCAGATTCCCACCTGCAGCAGGCAGGGATTTGATCCAGCCCTGCAGGAGGCCCACTGCTCTAGCACAACCCCTGCCTGCGGTGGACCCAGGCACCCCCCCACAATCGGGCTGCTCTGGCATCTCTACCAGAGCACTCTCTGTCCATGGGAAGCCAGGGTGTTGCAGGAAAGGGCTGCTCTGACCAGGATGCAGCACCCCAAGCACAGGTGGAGGCGGCAGCCAACACTCCCAACCATGCGGGATGGAGGAGCAGGCAATCAGAAGAGCCCTTCCCACTGTGCTTGGGGCTGCTGGTTCCTGCTGCCAGCCCCTCTGCATGGGATCCTGGTTAACCAATTAAACCTAATTGATTAACTGGGATTTTATATCTCTAGTATCATAGAGCTGGAAAAGACCTCAGAAGGCCATCAAGTCCAGCCCCCTGCTCTAGGCAGGACCAATCCCAACTAAATCAACCCAGACAGGGCTTTGTCAAGCTGAGACTTAAAAATCTCTAGGGATGGAGACACCACTACTTCCCTAGGTAACCCATTCCAGTGCTTCACCACTCTCCTAGTGAAAGAGTTACTCACCTTGTGCAGTAACGGTTGTTCTTGAAGGTGTGTCCCCGTGGGTGCTCCACTCTAGGTGACTACACAGCAGTTGTCGGCTCGCGGAGGTGGGTTTGGAGCCGTGTGGTAGTAACTGTGGATAGCACCGCTTGTCCAACCGCCATAGAAGATGCTATCGAAGCGGAGAGAGCATAGTGTTGCGCAAACGAGTGGTCAGATGACCAGGTAGCAGCATTGCAAATGTCCTGCAATGGAACATTACGAAGAAAGGTGGTCGTGGAAGCTACCGCTCTAGTGGAATGAGCTGTGATAAGTCCAGGTAAGTCTTTGTTATGTAAGGTATAAGAGGTTTTAATACAGGATGTAATCCATTTAGAGATTCTCTGAGATGAGACTGCTTGTCCCTTAGATCTTTCAGCATATGAGATGAAAAGTCTAGGCGAGGCTCGCCAAGGTCTTGTGTGATCTATGTAAAACGCCAATGCTCGTCGGACGTCGAGAGTGTGCCACACGGTCTGGATCGGTTCCGTGTGCGGTTTCGGAAAGAGGGCAGGTAAGTGGATGGGCTCATTCACATGGAAGGGAGAGGGTACTTTAGGTAGGAACTTAGGGTGGGGTCGGAGTACCACCCTGTCCTGTAAAAATACGGTGTATGGAGGGTCAGCCATTAAGGCTGCAAGCTCACTCACCCTCCTACTGGAGGTAATGGCGACGAGAAAAGCCACTTTCATGGACAGATGAGACAAAGAGCAGGTCGCTATTGGTTCAAACGGGGGTTTTGTGAGGCTCTTAAGGACATGGTTCAGGTCCCAAATGGGGACTGGTGGCCGAACCGGAGGGAAGGTGTTCTGCAGGCCTTTGAAGAAACGCTTGGTCAGTGGGTCAGCGAGAAAAGAAGTGCCTCATAGAGAACGGTGAAAAGCCGCTATGGCCGCAGCATGGACCTTGATAGTACTGAGTGCTAGGCTGGAGTGTTTTAGAGAGAGTAAGTAGTCCAATAAGGTATGTATAGGAGCAAGATGTGGTGGGCTTGCATGGGTTTGAGCGTACCATTGGGAGAAACGCGTCCACTTGTAGCGGTAGGTTTTCCTGGTGGAGCGTCTCCAACTATTAATTAGTATGTGTCTCACTTGTTCCGAACAGGCCGTTTCAGCATCTTGGAGCCATGAAGGAGCCAGGCGTGGAGCTTCAGCTTGGGGATGTCCGGGTGAAGGGTCCGACCGTGGTTTTGTGAGAGGAGGTCGCGATGTGGAGGGAAGGGATACGGTTCTGTTACCATCATCTTGAGGAGGTAAGGGTACCATGTTCGTCTGGGCCAAGCAGGTGCCACCAGAATCACCCGTGCCTGGCTCAATCTGATCTTGTCCAGGACTCTGTGAAGGAGTGGGAGAGGGGGAAAGGCGTAGAGGAGGGAGGCGTCCCATGCGATGGAAAGGGCGTCCCCGAGGGAATCTGACCGTGGTTTTGTGAGAGGAGGTTGCGATGTGGAGGGAAGGGATACGGGTCTGTTACCATCATCTTGAGGAGGTAAGGGTACCATGTTCGTCTGGGCCAAGCAGGTGCCACCAGAATCACCCGTGCCTGGCTCGATCTGATCTTGTCCAGGACTCTGTGTAGGAGTGGGAGAGGGGGAAGGAGTAGAGGAGGGAGACGTCCCATGCGATGGAAAAGGCGTCTCCGAGGGAACTTCTGCCCAGGGCTCCCCTGGAGCAGTAGAGGTGGCACTTTCGATTATTCTTTGTGGCAAAGAGGTCGACTCCCGGTTGGCCCCAGTGAAGGAAGATCGGAGAGGGCGTGTCTGTCGATCTCCCACTCGTGCTGGTCGATGAACATGTGACTTAGGGCGTCTGCTGTGACATTGAGTATTCCGGGAAGATATACAGCGGAAGGGGTGACCCCATGTGAGAGGCACCAGGTCCAGAATTTAGCGGCTTCTGAGCATAGGGAAGGGGAACAGGCGCCACCCTGACGGTTGATGTAGTACATGCAGGTGGTATTGTCCATCATAATGGTGATGGTCTTGTGGGCTATGTGATGAATGAAGTATTGGCATGCATATCTGACTGCCCGTAACTCGAGGAGGTTGATGTGGAGTGTTTGCTCCACAAATGACCATTTGCCTTGGGCTGTGATGCTTCCCAAATGGGCTCCCCATCCCATGAGTGAGGCGTCTGTTATAAGCGTGAGAGTGTAAGTTGGATGTTGAAAGGGGACGCGGTGTAGCATGTTTTGAGGAATTGTCCACCAGAGCATGGAATTAATAATGCGTGGTGGGATAGCGATGTACTTGGAGATTTGGCCCCTGAAGGGTCTGTACACTGTAGCGAGCCAGGACTGAAGAGGTCTCATGTGGAGTCTGGCCAAACTGACGATGTAAGTCGTGGAGGCCATGTGTCTGAGGATTTTGAGGCAGTGGCAGACCGTGACAGTAGGTACCGCTTGCGTTGCTCGGACAAGGTCGTGTATTATCGCAAACCTGTGTTCGGGAAGAGTGGCTCTTGCTGCGATTGTATCGAGGAGGGCGCCTATGAACTCCAGTCTTTGTGTTGGGCGTAAAGCGGATTTTGCGTAATTTACGTGAAACCCGAGACTGAGTAAAAGGGCTACTGTGGTATCTGTCATGGCCTTCGTTTCATTGAAAGATGCAGCTTTTATGAGGCAATCATCCAGGTATGGGAATATTATGATGCCTTGGCGTCGAAGAAAGGCCATTACTACCGATAGGGTTTTGGAAAATACCCTGGGGGCTGTAGAGAGGCCAAATGGGAGCACCCTGTATTGGTAGTGTTGGGTACCCACTGTAAATCGGAGGAAGCATCTGTGAGCAGGATGGATTGTAATATGGAAGTACGCGTCCTGAAGGTCGAGAGCCAAAAGCCAATCGTGTTGGTCGAGTGCGGGAATGATAGGTGAAAGGGTAACCATCTTGAAATGGTGGTATGCAATGTATTTGTTGAGGCGCCTGAGGTCTAAGATGGGGCGCCAACCTCCTGTCTTCTTCTGGGTCAGGAAGTACGTTGAGTAGAATCCCCGGCCTCGGAATTGTGTTGGTATGTGTTCTACTGCGCCCAGTTGAATGAGGTGTGAAACCTCCTGCCGGAGTACAGCTTCGTGAGAGGGGTCCCTGAAAAGGGATGGGGTAGGAGGGTGGTTGGGCGGGGTAGAGGTAAAGGGGATGACGTAGCCCGATTGGACTAGGTTCAAAACCCACTTGTCCGAGGTAATGAGGGACCATTGGTGGAAAAACGCTCGGAGGGGGTGGTGGAACTGAAGGGTAGCAGTTGGGAGGGTCGGCGGATTGGCTTCCTGGCTCTCGACCAGGCCTTCAAACCTGCTGCTTGCCGGCTGGGGGATGAGGTGTGGCATGTTGTTGTTGTTGGCGTTGAGGTCTACGACGCTGGGATCTCTGTATACGGAAATCATATTTGGGTTGTTGGCGGAACGGTTCTCTCGGTCGTTGGTAAGGCTGGTATCTGGTCCTTCTAAATGGAGGAGTATACATTCCTAGGGTCCTAAGGGTTGTACGGGAGTCCTTCATAGAATGCAACACCTCATCGGTCTTGGTTGCAAATAGGTTGGTCCGATCGAAGGGTAAATCCTCGACCTTTTGTTGGCGGTCCCTAGGTACGCCGGAGGCTTGTAGCCATGACATTCGGTGGAGCACTATCGCCGAGGCCGTGATTTGAGCCGCGGTGTCTGCCATGTCCATAGCGGACTGCAAAGCTGTGCGGGAAATGGTGAGGCCTTCCTGCATAATACTAAGCAGGGTTGGCCGTTTATGCTCCGGAAGATGTAGGAGGAAGTCCTGGAGCTTTGAGTAATTGGCATTATCATAGTCTGCGAGCATAGCAGTGTAATTGGCCGCCCTAAGGAGCAACGTGGACGAAGAATAAACCTTTCAGCCCATAATGTCCACCTTTTTGTGGTCCCTGTCTTGTGGGGTTGTTCTTAGGTTAGGTTGTTTACCCTTGTGACGTACAGAATCCACTACTAGGGAGTTATGGGGTGGGTGGGTGAAAAGAAAGTCCATATCCTTTGGAGCGATGAAGTATTTGCGCTCTGCTCTCTTATTTGTTGTAGGGATGGATGCTGGGGTCTGCCAAATATTGTCAGCTGGGTCCATAATGGCCTCATCCATAGGGATGGCAATTCTGGAAGCAGTTGGAGGTTGAAGCGTGCGAAAGAGTCGATATTGTTTGATCTGCACCTCTTGAAGATCTTTTTCCTGCGCTACGGCAACTCTTTTAAACAACTCTTGAAACTTTTTTGTATCATCTCCCGACGGTGGGGCATCGGTGGTGACCACTTCGTCTGGAGAGGAGGAGGAATTGTGTAGCGGAGATCTGGTCTCGCCCTCAGAAAGGGAGTCATGGCTGCCTGAAGGAGCTGGAGAATTCGGCTCAGTGGCCGATGTGGTGGCAGGAGGAGAGGCCGGAGGTAGCCTGGAAGCGGTAGAAAAGGGTCTATGGTGAGACCTCTTTGTATGTGAGTTCCACGGTTGCCATTGGGTGGCATATGGCGGGGGTGGATAGGCATACTGGTGTGGATACCACGGATGCGGAGGGGGAGGTTACGCATATTGAACTGCAGGCATTTGCCAGGATGGAGGTCTGTGAGCCGGGCTAGAATGTTGCAACGAGAACCTGCCTCTGGGTTCGGAGCCGATGTCACTAGCTGAACGAGAAGCGGCGGAGGAATGGTGCGATCTCGCTGAGTCCACCATAAGGATATACTGGCACCCTGAACTAGCCTTCTCTAAGGGCTCTACCAAATCAAGGCCAATCTGTTCAAACAGAATCCCCCCCACCAGCAGTGCTATCAAGGGGGCCTTTGGCACTCCCTTTGGGCTGGTTCATTGACACTCTGGACAGGACTTGCAAAAATCCCAAACCTCGCAGTATATACATCTGGGCCACCCAGTGTAAGGTCTTCTCTCGACCTAGGTGTCCAGACCAAGGGGTTACATGGGCTAAGCACAATACATCCGGTCTATATTTTGTTGGGACCAGCAGTTGCCACATTCTTTCCAAGAGTCTGGGGAGGTGGAGAGGTGGCCTTTTACCACTCAGTACAGACGATCATCGCATACCTCGAAGCGCGGCCCAAGGGGCCCCATCTGTCTCTGGCCCCACTATTTGTTCAGTGGCCCCATCTGTCTCTGGCTCCACTATTTGTTTCCGAGACCCAACTCAGCGTTGGATCTTCTTGCTGGTCTCAAAGGAAGTCACCACTGGTATCTAGCCAAATGATCTCAGTATCCTTTATTGGCCTGCTGGAGGGAAGTTCCAGGGGCTGATGTAGGACCTTCCTTCAGGGTCCCATTGCTGCCCTGGGCCATCAACCTCCACCTTCTTGGGTGCTCCCTGACCTCTTTCTGACTCAAGTCATTCACAAACTGGCGGAACCCCCACCAGTCCTGCCCTAAAATCACAAGGTAGGCCAACCAGGGGGCAAGACCAACCTGACAGACCCCTTCTTCATGTTCGTCTGACAGTCACACCCACAGGATCAGGTATGATTGCACATCCCTGTGGACAGGTGCTCCGGCAGGCTCAGAGAATTCCACCAGGTCAGCTCACACTAGCGTATGGCTGCATCCTGACTCAACAAGGGTGGTTAGTAGGGTCCCCTCCACCTTCAGGCTTACTAAGAGCTTGGTGGGGCCTCAACCCCGGGTCCTATGAACAGCTGTCAGCACTTTTCCATAGCTACAAATCCATGTACAGGCCATCCTTACGGAAATGTCCCTCTTGCCCACAAACAGCATTTGCCTCACTTTGTCACTTCTGGTTCTACCAGCATCCCCTCCTCAAGTTCTACTGGTCTCATATTCTTCCCCCAGTCCATTGGTAGGCTTACTAGTTGCTGTCTAATTCATCT